CGCCCCCCGGGCCCCCCCACCCCATCCCCTGCGGCCTGCTGGCTGCCCCCACCCCCGCTGAGCGTGGTGGCCTCCAGCCCACAGACTCAGGGACCCTGAGTTTCAGGAGGCCTATTTCGAGCAGCTTCTGGACCATTTCAACTTTGAGAGGTTTGGGAACAAGACCTTTCTTCAGCGGTTCCTGCTGACAGGTGAGTGGCCCCGGGGACAGCGCCCACTGCTGGTGAGGGGGAATCCTCCCCCACCTCACCCGCCTCCACCCGACAGAGAAGTTCTGGAAGAGGGGCGAGGGGCCCATATTCTTCTACACTGGCAACGAGGGGGACGTGTGGTCCTTCGCCAACAATTCGGGGTTCATCCTGGAGCTGGCAGAGCAGCAGGGGGCCCTGGTCGTCTTTGCCGAGCACGTGGGTACCGGCCGGGCTGGGGGGCGTGGGGGGGTCGCCCTGGGGGCTCAGAGTCAGTCCGCCCACTTGCCTGCAGCGTTACTACGGAAAGTCGCTGCCTTTCGGGGAGCAGTCCACGGGGCGCGGGTACACGGAGCTGCTGACGGTGGAGCAGGCCCTGGCTGACTTCGCAGAGCTGCTCCGGGCGCTGCGGCAGGAGCTCGAGGCCCCCGACGCCCCGGCCATCGCCTTTGGCGGCAGGTGTGTCCGTGTCTCCTCTCTCCCTCCAGCAAGCGTGCTCGGCCCCGCCCAGAGCTTCTGTGGGTCTGGGACGCATCGGGTCCTGGGAGGCACAGGGTGGGAGGCCCTGAGAAGGCACAGGATGTGGGTGTCGGCACAGCCTGCACGCTGAGGGGCCGCCGAGTCTCCCTTGCAGGCGGTGGGGCACTGGGGGTGCCCTGAGCTAACTCCGCAACCTCACCAGCTACGGGGGGATGCTCAGCGCTTACCTGAGGATCAAGTACCCGCACCTTGTGGCGGGTGCCCTGGCGGCCAGTGCCCCTGTGATCTCGGCGGCAGGCCTCGGCGACCCCTACCAGTTCTTCCAGGACGTCTCCGCAGTAAGCCAAGGCCCCGGCCCCTCCCTACCCTGGGCAGCCCCGCTGGTGGGTGCAGCCACACCCTTCCTCCCTCCAGGACTTCCAAGGCCAGAGCCCTGAATGTGCCCGGGCCGTGCAGGACGCGTTCCGGCAGATCAGGGACTTGTTCCAGCAGGGAGGTGAGGCGGCTTCCCCACCCTGCCACCATACCGCCTCCCTGCGTGGGCCCGCAGCCCCCACAGCCCCGCGTC